AACATGCCACAAGCAATTAATATACATGGACGTATAACAAGCCTAACGAAGCTGACGCAATTTCATGCACACACACAAGCATCGCATCGCGCCAACATGTGTGCACACAATCGCGCAAAATGCATATAAATGTGTGCTCATAAAACCCGCCAAACACCCAGTCTCGGCAGCTGGCCGGCCAGCTGGGGAACGAGACCGCCGCCAATGAGGATCTAAGGGCGCGGATGCACGCGTTGGAAGAGGAGAACGATTTCAGGTTGGTCGTTGCACGCAATATCGGTTGGGTTTCTTCGACGCATTTTTGTTTGACCGTCCGTGAGGTTATTGATTGGCCTGTTTTGTTTTTCTGTGACCGTTGACGGACTTGTTCACCGGAGGTTGAAATTAAATGAGGGCGCCATCGAGAAACGTGAGACGTCGCTCTAGATGGAGGGCGCATTCTTAGAACATTGAAGCCGTCGAGACGGCTGTAGGTCTGTTGGGACAGGTGGTGTTGTATGGGATGATGTGTATTCGCGTGGAACAGCGCCGTCGGCTGGTCGATCGTTTGGGTCGACGTCGCGCCGTCTCCGCCTGTTGACAAAGCAGAAAAACAAAAGGCTGAAGTGACAATACGACAGGGTAAGGACGGAGGGAGAGAGCAGTAGACGAACAAATACGCGAGAAAGAGATATATGGGATCGAGATTCGAGAATGGCAGAGACATACGCAGAGATGGGCACAACCTGTTAGAGGTACAGAAAAAACGACACACATGCATTAAGAGATGGAGGTTCCGTGAAGATATCCCAATGTTACTAGAGTTCGAGGAGCTCTATCAGGTTTAATGCCTTTGTCAGGTATTGATTGATTTCGTTGTGGAGTCGAGTGGACGAGAGAAGGCTTCCTTGCGTAACCTGGTCCTGTTCGTTTCGCCTTGCTTCATCTCGACAATGTCGGTGCTGGCGACGGTTGCTACTGGGCGAACACAACATGTGCATTCTCGGGTGGGCCCACACAGGACAAGGTCCCTGCAGGAGCGGAAGGCGAAGGCTCAGCAGCGCAAGAGGGTGAAGAGAGTTGGCACGCACCCTTCGGTCTTCTTTCCCAGACAAACGTTGTTACTATGACGAATCCGGTAACATTCTGCCGCACCTCTTCTTTTACCCATGAACATTTTCATGGCTTCGCGGCGGCTGCTGTCTGTTGCGAGCCGAACATCTGACTACTGGTGTAGGTAGTAAGCTCTTCATTCCTCCGAAGGTCGGTGTGTTGATTTCCCTAGTTCGAGAGCCAAAGGAGTCGGGATTTAACGCCCTTGCACAACATGGGAGGTTCCGTTTTTCGTTCCGCAAGAGGTTCTGGAGTCGCTTACCCTCCTTCATGCGACCAGCTCAACACCGCACAGCGGTTGACTGTCGAATACGCGCTTGGCGCAACCAATGCCAGCCTGGTCGGCGAAAGCCCGACGCACAAGTCGCGACATTGTAGAGACGCCACAAGAGCCAATAGTTTGAACATGTGTTGAGTGCACCGAGGGCGCTAAACACCACGTACCGCTGTTCGTGGCGTGTGTGCGCTTGCGACGGCGTGCTCCGTACGAAACGCTACGACTCCGGGTGTCTGACGGCGCAAAACGAAAGGGGGACGCGCGAGACATGATGGCCGAGAGCAAGGTATGCACGAACAGGCAGCTCTAGTGGCGCTGCCGCAGCAAGGGGACGCTGTGCTCGCCGTAACAACATGCAACGAAATCGGTGTCTAGGCAGACCGGAGATTGGCAAACGTAGACGGCGCAGTCGACTAGTCCTGTTGGTGGCGTTGGATGTTGCACCCCATTCGTCAGGGCTGTTTCTTTGAAAGTGAATGTCTCCTTGAGGTCCAACGGCAGGTCTGACTGCGGGCCTGGGAGTACTGAGATAGGCCCATGCACGGCTATTTACGTTCTCCGCGACGGGAAGACAATGGCGGCGACACTGCCACGATGATGTCGAACCGGGGTCGTGAAGGAGGTTCCATGGACTCATCACCTCAGCCTGGGCCACATGTAGAATATGGCTGGCCTCTCTGTCAGCCATAAAAAGGAACGTCCTTTTCCACTCGTTTTCTCTGGGTGGGACCCTTTGCAGCGATAACAATGTTGCACCAGTAGCAAGCGAGCGGCGAGAGCAAGGGATCACGAAATCTGTTGTGGTTCTCGAAGTCTCCTGTGATACCCGTGTTGTTTGTACGGGCCCGTCGTCAGCGATTGGGGTTGTGTGCGTGAGTGCTGACGGCCTGCCTGACAACCCGTCCTCAATCCGTCCTCCAATCTCACCTGAAACTACACGCGTGCACTTGGCTGTTCTGGCGTGTAACCGCGCCACCGATCGTCGCGTGCAGGCGAAGGATGACCGGATCAAGCGCCTCGAGTCGACCCTCATGCAAGAGCGGGCTAGGTCAGTCTCTCTCTCTGATTCAATGAGCTACCAACCTGGAACACTCTCGCGGTCAGCCCCCGGAAAACTCTCGACGTGCCTGACAACATAAACTGTATTCCATCAATTTTCTGTGTAGGCAAATGTAACTTTTAGCCGTTCGCTTGTGATGGCAGGCAGGACGGTCACGCATTGACTGGCGGTGTTGTTGTAGCAGAGTGATTGGCGTGCTCCCCCTTAGCCACACCTTGAATGAACGCTTTGCGTCGTAATGTCAGAGCACATGCGTTCTCTCACAAACCAATAGCAGAAGACAAGATAGACGCCGCTCCTGTCCAACGCGGCCGCCTATCGTGCCACGTGCCTTCTACACCATTAGGGTTGACCGCTGCATGCATTTGTTGCGTTGCCGCCGTTGTCCCAGGCTAGAAGGAGAGCTCCAGTCGGCGAGGTCGGATTACGAGGAAGCCGCCAAGGAGAGCAGGCGCAAGGCAGCTCGCCTTCAGAGGTAGAACAACACATCTATTCCCCCTAACCCACTTGCCTTGTTTGGTCCAGGAGTGAAACGATAACAAGAAGCAAGAAAGCGTGGCTTGTTCTCCGAAACGTACGTGTGTTCCTGCTGGCACGATCCACGTCGCCCTCCCATTCCAGGCGTCCCTCGCCCCCTGTCCCCTGCATCACACCCACCGCCCCCCATCCCCCCGCATTACAATCCGAAACAAACCCGCACGCGCCACCACGCGCTGCTTACAACCTTAAAAGGAGATGCTTAGAGCTAGAATACCGAGTGGCGACACAATCACAGGGCTCCGAAACAAACGGAAAGAGTGGCGGCATCGCCCCCGCGGAAGCCTCGATATCTTCTTTTTCGGCGTCAACCGGCGGCCTGCAAAGCAGGGTCTCCGCGTCCAACGGCAACCCCCTGGCCGCCACCGCCGGTAAGAAAGGGTGGACGTTTTGCCAGAGCCGATCCCTGTGTTGGTGCAGGGCAACCAAATGGCAACGACAGCGTTTGCATTCCATCACACGCGCACTCAAGTCAGTGCATGTTTACTTGGCCGTGGTGAATCACCAATAACACCGTATCTATGACATACTCACCAAATCCGCCTGTGAATAGTCTAGAGCACTCGAACGCACACCGTAGTAGTAGTGGGAGTTATCGCATCCCACCCCCCTAAAAGACCGAATTTTTCGATTGCTCCACGAACACCAACAGCCGACCGATATGCGCAAAGAAAGCTCTACGAAAAAGACGTAAAGCTTTCCAGAGTCGCCCTTTTAGGCAATTGTAGTTTGTTGGCTGCGGAGATTTGTGCTATGAAAGTTGGTCTGGGGGGATGTGCGATGACGCGCGCTTAGACGTTGTAGGTTCCTCATCATGGGTTTCCTTACGCACGGGGTGTTTGGTAGGGTTTTTGAACGTTGTGCCCACTCGACATCGCCAAGGAAATGTGGATTCTGCGCATGATCCCCCCCCCGCGCAGCTGCAGTGCTCCATTCCACCGTACATGGCCATCGCCAGCCGGTCTTGACCGATCCCGACACGTTTGGTTGGCATGTGACTGTTGCGACATGATGAATGGCAGGAAGAAGACGGGAAGAGCTACTGCACCCACCCGAATGAACAACTTGCGCACTCGCATATATTGCAGGTCTTATTTCGGCGGCCTCGATGCTGCCCTGGCGGCGAGACACTGTTTCGAGCGAAATATCAACATCGAATTCGACAGTAGGTGAGGCAGCAGTGCCAACGAAAACGGGAGCGGGATCAGCGGCCACAGCTCAGGCGGCGGTCATCGACGGCAACAATGCAGGCGCGGGAAAGAGGCGAGGACGCGGGGCGGCAGGGGGTATTGACGCGGCTGGTGGTGGTGGAGCTGTTGTGAGGAGCTTTGCGAGAAGTGCTGTCGCGCGTGGTAAGACGATGACGGCGGCGGTGCCGCACATGCAAGAGGCATCATCATCGACGGGGGGAGAGAGGAAGGATTCTTCTTCTTCAACCGCTGCCGCCGCTGCCCCTGCGGCCGCCGCCCGGCTACCCGACCCTTCACGCCACAACGAGGGCGCTCCCGCTTGGATGAGGTCCGACCTTGCCGTCGATCGGGTGCGGGTGGATTGATTTTGAGAAGGTCCGATTTGCCTTTCTTTGCTGTGTTCAATCTCAATCTTCTCCACCTTGTTTGCAACTTCCTGCCTGCGCTGTGGGTCACGTGGACGCGAATGAACGAGCGTTCGGCAATCTGTCGCGGAACCTTGACGCACTCATGCAGCCGCAAGGCCTGTTCGAAAGGTATTCTGCCTTGTCGCATGTCCGAACAAAGAGGCTGTGGGACGTGCCTTCGCGCACGTGTGTTGTTCGTTGCATATGGTATAGTTGACTTCCAGAAAAAAGTGTCTCAACTAACTGTACAACGTGTGCTCAGCACCCTCCATCTTCGTACTGTTCAAACTGACGACCCGGACAAGTTCCGCGGTCACAAACCACCCCAAAGAGGGGTTGTTGTTGTTGTCTTCACATTAGACCGTATGTCAGTTGCAAAATGCCAAAATCTAGCGAAGACTCTCAGCCCGTGGTCACGAAAGTGCTAGAGCCATCTGAGGATCTAAAGAACACGCACACATATAACGAGAAACAGGTATCCAAGAGCCCGAAGAGGTAAACCTAACAATCCCTGCAGCACCGTATGCGTGCCCAAAAACTGAACTGCACGTCCGTCCCACCGTTCGACTACAGCAGTAGCATCACCCCCTCCCTGTCCCACTCTATACCAAAACGGAAGATTGCCGACTACAGCATACTGCTGTCTGAAGTGCTGTCTGTACAAAAACACCATGGTAGGCATGGAACAAGCAGCTGGCGGGGCACAAAGCTGCTGTCTGAAGTGCTGTCAGAATGTGTCTGCGGCCGTACAGTGAAAAAGAACAACCAACCAAAGCCATCATAGCAGCAATTGACAATCACCCGAATCTCTCCCGATCGTCTGTGTTAGGCACTGCAGTGAAAAATATCGACACTAGCTAAGAATCGTTCCACATTGAAGGGGTCTTCCACGATCAGGCACAAAACCAATGCACCCGGGTTAGCCACGCCATCTCTGACGGGTCTCTCTACAAAACCGGTGACGATGTCATCACACAAAACCAACACGGAAAGTCAGAAAAAAAACGAAAAAAGTTGACAACACAGATAGAAATGTTTGTCCGTGCGCCACGGGTCGATGTCGCCCGCATACTCCGGTGCCACTGCTCCATCCGGCGCCGCTGTAGTCAGCCCAAGCAAAACACCATTCGACCTGCTCCGTCCGCACACGCTCTCGTTGCTGTCCTTCCCAGTCCGTTCCTCGCTTTCTCCCTCATTGCACTCAAGGTTCTTGGTCTGAAAAAAATAAAAATTCTCGCGCCGAATGGTCAACCAGCCTAGTTCAGCTCGTCGCCACCTGCTCCCTCCTCCTTTGATGGCGAAGCCAAGTTACTGAGGCAATACAGCTCCCTCTAGAAAACCTAGGGCCGTGTAGTGCCCGTTCACCTTTCTGATGGTGTCTGCCTCCGCGCACAAAAATGAGATGGGCATCACTGCCAACGCCGACGGCCAGAAAGGCCCGCGCATCTACATTTTCCCGCCTGACCCCATCAGTGCCGACCCAACTCCACCACCACACGCACGCCTCGCGGCGGATGCGCAGCAGCAAGAAGGTTTCAGTCGTCCCTTGAGGGTGAGTCTAGCCCTGCTCGCCAGAAAGACCCCCCCCTTCACTACAACCCATGTCTAAGCAAAAGCTTGTCGAGGAGCGAGGGGAAGAAGGGAGAGTACTTGGCAATAAAGAAAAAAGAGAACAAATAAGGACACAGGCTTCCCTCGTTGGGGGGAGGCCCAGGTCGCAGTAGTCTTTACCCACTACTAAGGGCTGGCAGTTCTCTTCGTTGAGATTAAGAGAGGAGAGGGTCTCAAAAGAGAGGGACAAAAGAGAGAGTGCCGCCGAAGGGGCGAGGGAGACCAAGCCCAAGCGTCTCGGATTCCCAAGCTCCACAGGTGGGGCTAAGAGGGACGCATCCATAGTTGGGTCTCTTGCTGATCAACCATCAGTAAGATACTCCGTTCGGATCGTATCTTGCTCCTACTTTTGTATGTGCAACAACAATGGTTACAGCACTTCTACACCTGTAATCCAGGTAAACACCAAATACACAACCCCCCCCAAAGGTCAGACGTAGCACGCAAAATGCCGGACAACGGAGATAGACGTACCATTTTCTCCCACTCAACACGCGAGCCCACGCAACATGGCACAAACATGCAGCATCAAAAACCACTGACGAAGAACAAATGAAAACATTGCTATCATTATGACCGAGGTGGGGTCACCGCCGGGTTCGCACCGCCCATGACGTTTCCCCAGAAACACATACTACAAATTGTGGGCACGGAGACCGACGAGTTAACCCAACTGCACAACCCACGGATGACACTGCACCCTTCTTTGCTAGAGGAAGCTGTGCCACTACCCCCACCCGGATACATGAAGAATGATTCAGCGCGCCTCATCGTGGGGGTGCGGGAGTTCATGCTGCAGCCAGACACCATGACGTGGAGGAACCAGCGTGCAACCTCCTCCAACAAACAGCCGGCCGCCTACAACTGGCGATACTCAGAGCCGAAGCGAGCACACGACGGAGCTATGTGGTAGCGCGCAAGGAACCCACCAGTGGACGGAGAAAAGCACACAACAACAAACAAAACCAAACGGTCGCGCGGAAACACACAACAAAAGCACGTATACCTGTACCCACCTCCGCGGCAACGAGAGGAGTGCAGACGTACACCGCCCCCAGAACACACAAGAGTGCATGAACCAACAGACCTACGCTAATGTCGTGGTTCTCCCACACCTACCCTTCAAACAAAGAGCACAGACATGCGCACACAAGCACACAGCTGGCTAGCGCGGTCGATGCTAATCATATAAATACAAGCACACGTAGGCATGCTCAGGTCGCGCCCTTATAGAGGATGGAAAAACTTGCACTGAATTGTTCGCTTTCAAACACGATTTTGTATGAAAACGACAACGACACCTACGCCAACAACAACGTATGCATACACAAGTGCATATATTCAAACACGCGTGAGAGCAATATCCCGTGTACTGCTCTTGAAATAACACGACAATTCCAGAAACCGTCAACAACGGCCTATATATATGCACACATGCTACAAGGCCCACATACTTGATGCACGCACCAGAGCAAGTACTGCCGTAAAACCAGGGTTAGGATACTCTCACAAAAAAACGTGCCAATTGTAGAAACCCATTCGTGTGTTCGCCGACGATCGAGACCGAAAAGCTCCCCGTGGGCCAGAGACGAGGCGTTCCGAATAAAAATGAGGACACGGCAGCCGAAGTTTTCTGATTGGCCAATATTTTTGAAAGGAGATTTCCCATGTTCGACAAATCTATGGTCGACCGATGACGTCACCCACGGTTCATGATGTCACCTCTCGAAACAACAAAAAAAAAATGCCGCACAACAGCAGCCAGAAAACACAAACAAAAAACACATGATACCCAAAACACCTTCCAGCAGCTCTACCGCCACCGGCGCTGCTGCTGCTGCTGGGGCCGATTCAAACCCTCCAACCTAATATAAGCCACCAAGGCCGTTTCTCGCATCAGAGGGTGTGAACGTCTACGTCGCCTATAAACGCCGTAGGTACCACGCTCACAGCTCGTGAGGTGCTGGCAACCAGACCATGGAGCTTTCGAGCGCTGCATGACGGATCGAGTGGCCATTTGCTTGCGGTTTTGTCTTGCAACTACACGCTGAATCCGGGCGCCCGGCACCCGAAGCTCTTTCGGTTGATTCACCTAACGCAAGGACGATGCGAAGGCAGGCAGGCGCAACAAAGTGGGGGCGGCAGACAAAAACGAGATGAGATGATCATAGAGGAACAACGGCAACGAAAAAAATGCAAATTTTCTTATTTCGAGTTTGTTGCGGTCACCAAGACCACGGGCTGAGTTTGCAAAGGATCGGCCAGCGACACGGCTGCCTGGTTGGGAAGACACACAGCGGCTTGAGCTGTTTTAGGTATTGTTAATGAGAATGCTCCAAGAACATGAATACCAGCCGCAGCAACAGTGACAACACGTGAAGTACATAGAGAGGAAACAGGGCGCATGATACACCGCAGACCAGTACATGTGTGAAGTGTGGAAAGGCCAGGTGCTAATATTTGCCTGCTCTCAGTTTGTGTTCGTTTTACAACATCTCTTTCTTTTTAGGCTCCCGAAAGGTTTCAGTGTTTCCTCTCCGAACAAATGTACCCGGAGAGACAGAGGGGTATCACCACAAGTTAAGCTGCCGCTGGCTAATCTTGGCGAGGTTATGGACGTTCTCGACTGTCTCCCAGAAATGTTTCGTCACCATGGACTTAACATTTCTCGGGGAGAAGGCACTGATATCCCCTATAAGAACAGAGGGACTCTCTCCCGAAAGCCGTTCTCCCTGCAGCTAGCTAGCTACAAGAGTTTTTTTTCTCAATGCATGTGTAGGTCATCAGATCATCGTGGGCGCACCCTGTACCCTCTAGACTACCGCCGTGTCAGAGTCCAGAACGAAATCCCGTTGTCATCCCCTTCGATTTTTTTTGCTTGTCTTCACTTCAAATCAGTGCTCAGCATTTGCGCCGTTTGCACCAGCGCGTGGTCACACACAAGTGTTCCACTCACTGAGGATTCTACCTGCTCCGTTCCTAGGCTTTGTCTTCGATTCTTAATGCCAGAAGAGTGCACCACTCTTTTCCCTCTGTGTACACATCAACTAGCGCTTTCCACCTCGACCGGGAACGAAAGCGAGAGAAGAAACTCGCTTTGCAAGAAAATCTAGGTTGCGCCGGGATTCGAAACCCTGACCCTGGCCACTCGAAGGTGTGTGAGGATACCAACTAGACTAACCGGGACGGCAGGCTCCGTCGACTGCTGCTGTGGTTACATGTATCTCGAACGGTAGTCTCTTTGATTGTATGTAGATTTTCTAATAATACCAAGTTCGGAATACCAGTACACCCCCGTGGGCATGTTCAACTTCTAAATTTCTCGGAGCTTTCCTCGAAAGGCTTCATTTCGTTCGTCGTACGTACACGTTCTCAAAACACGTACATAAGCGTGTGTGCCCTCGTACGCCGTACCAAAACGATTTATGGCATAAACACCCAACAGCAGTGCTCGCGAAAACCTGAAGTAAAATTTAGCATGTAATCGAGCCAGTGCCCTATGGTGTGTCGATCAGAGCTACATTTAAGGGCTGAGATCCATCGCTGTATCCATGAGCATGATCTACAGCTGTCGGTATGCTGACTCGAAAACCTTCCCTCGTTAAGCGACAAGAAGCTATGTATCATCCTGCCTCAAACAAGCGACCGACCTCCGACGCGAGGCATACATACCCCTGCCACCGGTGTGGCACGGTATTCTCGGCGCGGTATTCTCGGCGCGGTATTCTCTGCTCTGCTGCAACAATGTGTGTGTGTGCTTTTATTATTAGCATCGACCGCGCTAACCGGCTGACCAATGAAAAGACGTCAGCGTGTGTGTGTGTGTGTGTGTGTGTGTTTTCGTCCTATTATATTTATTATGGCGACAGTCCCCCCGTTTTTCGTGGTGAGACGTGTGTACTACACTTTTCAGCGTATGTAGGGTACTACACTTTTCAGTGTATTTTTTCGTACAGCTACAACCATCCAGGGTCACACAGGAGGGGGGAAACACCAGGGCTTTTTGCTTTTTATTTCTTTTCATGCCCCACCTTCCTCCTGCGGTGCGTGCTGAATTTTTATTTTTATCGCGAGAAGGGTCCAGCCGTCCCTTTCCCTCGTCAACGGTGCTAACGTCGAAGTTTGGTACTCACGAAAGCTTTTTAGCTATATTTCGCTTTCACCCGCAAATTTCGTATTTCACCCCATGGGGATTCGAACTCACGACTTCTGCGACTAGCGGATTACGAGGATACCACTAGACCACCGGGGGGACCTATATAGAGTGACCCGTGAACCGGGTGCACGGCGGGCGAGCTAGGCAGTTACGTTGGTTGGTAACTGCGAGCAGATGCGGAGGAACAAATGCGTGCCGCCTCACAGCAGTAGTCACAGGACCAGCGTGTTGGCTGTGTGTGTACATCCTCTCCTAGAGTGCGTTGGAGTACGCATACATTGCTGCTGCAAGCCAAAATATAAAATCTAGACAGAGAAAAACCGGCGGCTGCTTTGAGTTACTTGTGCAGAGGGGATGGACTGCTCAGGGCAACCGAGTTCGACACACAACATAAGAGCACGGCGCTGGTGTTACTCGCGCGCCGTTGATTCGCAAGCGTCCTGCGGCTTCACAGAAATACATGTACACTTATCGAGATAAAAAACATCACCTGGAAATAGAGTAGGGGACCCTAGTGGCTGACCATCGTAGACCTCCTGCCGCCGCTACCACCTTCGCAATCGCTACCACCAGCGTTGGCAGCACTACCAACAACAACCCCATCCTCTCCCCTCCTTCGTGGGTCGTCCTCCTCTTCTTGCTTCTTCCGCATCATCATCTCGTCTTCGAGGAGCTCGTCTCCACGGCCGATTCTGAACACCAACTCGGTAGGGCACAGGAACGACTTAAGCTCAGCTTGGAGGTTCTCGGCGCACAACTGACGACGAAAAGACCTTCGAAACCGCGCGCAGTCCTTCCTCGTCCACCAAATTCCCTCGTTGCAGCCGCCGCCATCGCCACCGTCGCAATCAACTCGTCCTCCTAAATCGTGCAGGTGATCATGTTGCTGGTGGTAGCGTTGTTGGTGACAGAGATCCTCGCGAGCTTTGAGCTCGCTCCTCGTCGGGACGAAGATCACACGAGCCTCCGCCTTGTCGAAAGACACGCTCCTTGGGCTCCGCTCATCGTAGTCCTCGCCGATGCCACCGACCCCTGCCACCGGCCGTGCTTCCGCCCTCGCCGCCGCCGTCGAATCATCATCATCACCTTTGGCATCCTGTCGTTGCCTAGTATGTCGTCTGCGGGCGATTCCCGGGGCCCTAACCCGGACCCACTGCTGCTTCCTCGAGAGCATACTACACTACAATCTTATCCAGGCGACTTTACTGGTGTCGCACGTGGGTTGTCTTCTTTCTATCTTGTCTTGCTTGCAATGGGATGTCCTGTGTGTGTCAGCAGTGCACTTTCCAGGGCGGGGGACGTCGTCGTTGTGGCCCGTTCTCTGGACCTCACGAATCTCTTTTTGCAATTTCGAGCCGGCGTATTCCCCTATGCGGGCTGGCTCTCTGCAAATGAACCCATCCCGTTGAGGTATTTTGGTTGCTTCATGTGCCACCCTTCGTTCCGTCTCGTGGAGAAATCACCTTGTGGAGAAAGAAAATGGTTGTCCAGTGCTCTCTCTGACATCACGTTTCCTCAGCTGAATGCATCGGGCTCTCCCTGACGCTTGTTACATACATAGCACATGCTGCCGTGGTTATCGGGTGAGGAAAAATGGAAACATGAAAACACGCTGAACGCACGCGCTCTCCTGTTCAAACACCGACACACATTTTACATTATGTACCGTTCGAGAGAACGCGCGGTTCGGGAAAATCGCGCACTACCAGTGATACGATATCGCAACCCTGTGCTATTAAAGACCAAGGACCAAGTGATTCCGTTTGATTATCGCACGGGTTTCGGTTGCATCGCACCCGACACCGAGCCCCGAATGGCTTCGGTGTACTCGCTGCGCAGGGGGTACTTGACGGTATTCTGAACGGTAAGTTGTGCATACCACATTGGTACAACTGGAAATGTCACAAGAAACGGGGATTCAGAAGAGACTCCTGTCACTAGTCACTTCACGTCATTTGTTCAACAATTCAACAGCTGCTAAAGTACGCTGACGATGACGCCGACACATGGACAAAACGAATACCCTTTCGTTTTCCTGTCCTCGCATATCGCTGCGCCGAGATTTCTACGATACTTGAACATGCAGATGTGTGTGTTGTCCCTGTTCGGTGTGTGTTAGTGCCGACCGTGGTTGTGTTATGGAGTACGACAAGTTGGGCAGGCATCGCACGTATCGGAGTTGTCGCAAGGGGGTATGCGTCGAAAGCACCCACGGGACTAAGTATGAGATGTTTGACCACATAAAATGGCTCACAGGCAAGCCCCCACCGCTTGTGAGAACATGATGTCCGGGAACACACCGAGAGGTATTTCTTTGGGATCCACGTCGAAAACCCTTATGGATGGGCAGTCTTTCAAAACAACGACTTGGGACACCGGAATTTGAGCTCTCTTCGTTCTCGCTACGTTTTCCAACCTCCACCCTTGTCTTTTTCTTTCTCGCTGATGCTTCCAAGTACAAAAAAACATCCGCGGCCGTCTCACAGCTATGCATAGCAACATTCCATATGTCGTCCAAACCCCCCAAACAAGAAACACATCGCGAGACCGTGGCCCAATCACCGGCCGTACCAACACACAGGGCCGCTCATGGAGCATGGCACCACGTAACATGACGCACGTGCGAAGCATCAGGCAGCAAGGCACATTAATCGATAAAGTTACACAATATGACTAGTCAGCGCTGACTAGTCAAATTGTGTAACTTTATCGACTAAAAGATATATGCTCAGCTCATTAGCACCCGGCCGGATGGCTTTGGAGAGAAAGGATCTCTGGGGACGGATCCCCTCGCCAGACGCTGATAGTTCTAGGTGCACTTCGATCCGGCCGGTATTTGAACTCATGCGGGTACCCTATAGCTCCAATTGTTTAACCATTAGACTAGTCAGCGCTGACTTGTCTAAAACACGTACGTCCTGATACAGTCGAAATAAGCTCTGAGAAAGCCGCAAACGGCTTGGCCCATGTGTGAAGCGTCAAGCAACTAGGCACGGCATACCTAGTCTATGCCCTGATTACGGCCGAAAAAGCTCTTGAAGAAAAAGCGACAAACGGCTCCGGGTTTGAAACGCTACGGCTTCTGCCCGCAAGCGGCCTGTTTAGGCGGCATGCCTGCTGAAGAGAGCACCAAGTGCCGAACCACAGCAGCAGCTCGTCTCGTGCCATCCGTGGCAAGGATGAGCGTCGTCATCGCTGTTCGTACTGACCCTTGCTCTGGGACCAAAGAAACGGATCATCGATCTGGGAGCAACTGGATGGAGCAAATCTCCCGACAACGGTTCTGCGACGAAGGGATACACAGCCGTAGTGCACGAGGGGGCGGGGTAGGAGTGCATCAACTCATCAATATCGCCACATGGTGAGCGCGTTCGGTGCAGGATGCGCAAGATATCAGGACAATCTTAAGGCAATCGCAAATACTGGTTCGAATAGCCTGGGCGGGGTCCGACGAAGGCCGTCAGATGCACGGAACACGCGCGAAAAGAAGCCAACGAGGAGGAGGAGGAGGGGGAGGAGGAGGAGGATGGAGTATGGGCGCGGTGGGAGGTCGCTTGTATACAACGCACAAAACACTTCGTGCTTATTTATACTTGGTGCCGTGTGACGCTTACTACTTTTCCAGCCGATGCATCCTCTTGGATAACCCAAAAGCATTTGACACCTCTTTCCACCGACATGCACACTACTGTACCGTCAGCTTCGGGCGTAACACGCCTGCCGGCTGTTGCGATAAACACGCTACGCTTCGACGTTTCAACCCCATTAACGAGTGGCGCCAGGAAGGCCAAGTAGCTCCACCCCAACCTTCGCCAAAGAGAAAAAACAAAACCCATGTCTTACATCTGAAGATACTCGTGCTTGGATACTCGGATCTGTGATGTACCAGCCAACGAGAAGGGTTCCGATACCCCCGTTTTGTCCTCAGCATTCTTCGTCGCCAATACCACCTACAACAAAGCGTGACTTTGCTGAGGAGGTTCGGTAATCTCATGTAGAGTATCATTGGACAAACGCCGGCATGTGTGAAACTCCGTCTGGCCCCCCACATTGTTGGGTGCTCACTTACGTACATCCATACAACCCACCCGCCGGACCTCCCTCGAGGGCACTCCGCCCTCAGCATTCTAGCTTTTTCGCCAGCACCGTGTCACGATTTTGTTCTTTAGAAAAGATCGTCTCGCGCGCGGTTCGGTAATCTCATGTAGAGGATCATGGGGCGGAGCCATCACATAACCAAAGGACAGGCGTCGGGACGCCGTTCCTTTTCCGTTCAATCCCCTGCGTTTGCGCCCGGTACCGGACGTATCTTCAGACTGCAACCAAAGCGGCTCGTTCGAGGCTAAATATCTCAGAAAACACATAACTGTTGGACAAGACATAAGGCACCTGCGTAGGGTAGGGATATCTTCCTCGTTTCCGCAGGGGACAGGTGGTTCCTGCTTCTTCTGCGGTGCCGCTGCAACCAGACTGCATTTTCGAGGGGTGGTCAAGCAGCGTGCGTGTGACAGGAAGGGGCGCGTTATTTCGTGCATGGCTTCCATATACAGCCTCCCCTCTCGACCCTTTGACGCACCTCTTAGTAAGTTAAGATCTCGGCTCGTTATTGGGATTCGTATCATTAGAGATAAAAAAAAAGACATGTAGACTATCATGGTTTGGTTCTCCGCTCTCCGCGCTCGAGAGCACATTTTTCGCGATTTCTCCGCTCCTAGACCTCGCCTCGCCGCGAAACCTGCGTGTGCCGGTAGCCCTACGTTGCGAGGGCCTTGCTCGTGTGCGGCTCAAGGTCGGTGCGGCCTTAGCTCGCGGTAGCGAGGGCGCGAACTCGCATGCAAGATCGGTTCTGTGACGTCACCCTTGGCGAGTCTTCCCGAACTGAAACAAGCTGCTGTCACGGCAAGCAACCAACACTCGAGAGCTCTTTTTTCGCGATTTCTCCGCTCCTAGACCTCGCTTCGCCGCTCAAGGTCCGTGCGGCCTTAGCTCGCGGTAGCGAATCTGGCGCTATCGTACCGCCTTCCTTCGTTCGACCTTTATGAGCGTTCGGCTATTGTTGTTCAAGTTGCTAGGTGTTATAGCAAACACAACTGTGTTGCTTTTCTATGCCAAAACACCTCTGCGACCTGTTGATAGCGTCATTCATCTATTAATGTGTTAGCTCACTTATGAGCCCATTCCTTTCATCTACACGGTTCACGCGCGTCTTCTTCTCCTGCATGCTGTATTTCTTTCCCAGACCATCTGTGCGGCGTACGACGAGGACAACCACTGCCACGACCTACAAGACGGCTGCACCGGACAAATCTCCGAAGGAGACTTCATCATCCGCTCCTGGGCACTCAAGGACCCCCCGCAGGGTCTACACGCCCGTTGCGCCAAGCGTTAACACGCCGACCTGGTGCAATACATACGTGTGTGCGTAGAAGTGTATACATCTATCTGCGTATCGCCTGTTTCTTCCAAAATCTCTCTGTTCCGTTGTCTGCCGTTAGTTATTTTCTGGCCTGCTCTTCCGCCGTTTTGTGTTTAATTGTAGATCAAGTCGCATGTTTCTTGTACCAAGATGTTGTGTTTTTCGACAAGACAAGTGTGTACCTCGCATAGCCCTGGCACACCCTCAAAAACATAGGTCAACGAGCTCCTCGCCGAGACCAAGTACCGCCAGGTCGCCGGCACCAGCGCTGAGGACGAGGCCAAGGCCCCTTCTGCCGAAATCCCCGCCGACTTCGAGGATTTATGAGGACATCTCAACGGTGCGCACAGTAGGCCGTGTTTTTGGTGAACCTTGGGCCTTGCCAGCCCCCCTTACGAGCATTCAGCTCTTATTATCATGTCCAATAATCTTGATTCAAGTATTTTCCATCGTGTGACTCGGTCAGTAACTGCGCGTTGCAACGCTCTATCCGACGAGTACCGTCAACAATGCCGTCTGAACAGGGCCAACCGCGTACAAGCACTACGTAACCGACGAAATTCCACTCCAAATTCGAACTCAATCGCTGCTGATCATGCCACACGATGGGTAGCACAATATAAGTGCGGTAGACGAGGTACTGCGAAGCAACATCATTCCCTCAGAACCTGCTGTTAGAGAGTTAACCGAGGCAATCAGAGATGGCGATGGCCACGTGCTTGGCGCACCTCAAGCTCCTGAGATCGCCACAATAGTGTACTCCTCCAAAAGTCAATGCTCCTCCACTCAACCCATCATTACTTACCCAAGAAACAACCCTGATAATCAGCCTCGTTTTTTTACCCCTCTATTCTCCTTGCTACGAACCATTACAATACCCGTGTTTGTTTAACAGTGGTGAAAGCGGTTGGAACAAGGGTCACTTCAGCGAAAACCCGCGCAACAAATCTCAGACCATGAACCGTGCTGGCACCAAACATGTTCCACTCCACTTTTACTGTCGTCAACGTCTCCTGTCTGATCAATCTTTCAACGAAATAGTCGAATAGCACAAGAGCGGTGTTGCGACATGTTTTCACGTTTCGAAGAAAATCAACCAACATATTTCGAATCTGATGAGTTACAATATAAGCTTCGCCTTGCAAGTAAGCGATCTATCACCGAGGCGACATACAACAGCCAGCCGGGTAAGCTTCTACCCGCAACCTTCCACGGATCACCCTTGAAGCGCAAGTCTGATACAGAAGATGCACTTAAGTATTTGTAATCGTCGCGGTCGTCCTCAAATCTATTTAACCTTCACGTGCAACCCGGAGTGGCCGGAAATTGTTGCCAACCTTGTGCCTGGCCAAACCGCTGCAGACCGTCCAGACCTATGCTGCAGAGTCTTGAAACAGGATTAACGTCAGAGCAGAGACATGTCTACAACGCAGTAGTAAACTCTGTTCGGGACAAACACCCTCAGCCATTCATGATTGACGCTCCAGCTGGAACCGGTAAATCTCACACAGAAAAAGTCATCGCTGCTCGTTTAAGAGAAGGTTTTACTGTTTTAATCGTTGCTTCCACTGGCATCGCTGCCCTACAACTTCCCGGCGGTTGGACCGCTCATTCAATATCCAAGCTTTCCTTAAACGAGCGCGTTGAAGATGGAGCCTTCTGCGACATCAAGAACGAGTCACAGCGAGCCGAACTCGATTCGGAAGTGTGACCTTAATTTTCGATGAGCTCTCAATGACCCACCGCTACTGTATCGAGGCTCTCGAACGGACCTTACATGACATCAGACGCTCCGAGGATTTGTACGGTGTTATCACCATATGTTTTCAGGCGACCGGCGACAGTGTGGTCCTGTCGTGCCCTTTGGCTCTGCTGCTGACACCGTCGAAGCTTCCTTCATCTCAAGCGACCTATGGCCGAAAAACAAAACGAAGTATGCGTCTCACCATATCTCAGAGAGACAAAGAAGACCCTGCTTATGCTTCCTTCGTTCGCTCCATCGGCGAACACAAACAACCACCGACCACCTTGGACGATGGTGCCAGACTCGTCCCTCCATCAAACACACATGACAACTCCACCACAGACTACTTCTCGTTGCAGTACACGACCGACTTCAACGATTTGGTCAAGTTCGTGTATCCTGACATCCACCAAGACGCACGTCACCTCAACGACCGTGCCATCCTCGCGACTACCAACACTTCTATAGACTAATGCAACGCCGAAATATCTTCCAGGCGCGACGGCAACGTCTCTTTCTACAGTTCTGACACGCTCATCAAAGATCACAACAATCAAGCATCTTCCACCGCTATCTGCTCA